GGAGGATGGTTGTTGTCTTAATTTTCACTTTAATTATATATGTCAAGTTGTACAGGGCATGGTGACAAATGTAGATAAATCCAGTAACTCAAGAGGCTGAGGCAGGAGGATTGCAAGTTCCAGGCCAGCCTGGGCAACTTAGTGAGACCCTGTCTCAAAATAAAAAATAAAAAGATTTGGGGGGTGTAGTATGGTGGTAGAGCACCACTGGGTTAAATCTCTAGCACCATAAAAATTATGTTAAATTTAATTATAGTGTATATTCATAGAATACATAGTTGCCAATCCATAACTAAGTTTTTCTAGTCTCTAGTGAAAACAATGAGTAAGATCACAACTGTCATTTTTGGAGAAAATATCTTTTGAGATTGCATCTGAAACACTTTTTTTAGTGTTACCATATCCTTTCTTTTATGAATTAATGGTAATAAAAAATGGTATGAGGGGGCTGGAGCTGGGGCTCAGTGGTAGCGTGCTCGCCTAGCATGCATGAGTCACTGGGTTCGATCCTCAGCACCACATAAAATAAAAATAAAATAAACAGGGGCTGGGGATGTGGCTCAAGCGGTAACGTGCTTGCCTGGCGTGCGTGCGGCCCGGGTTCGATCCTCAGCACCACATACAAACGAAGATGTTGTGTCCGCCGAGAACTAAGAAATAATAAATAAATATTAAAAATTCTCTCTCTCTCTCACTCTCTCTTAAAAAAAATAAAATAAAATAATAAAATAAAATAAAGATACTGTGTCCACCTAAAACAAACAAACAAATAAATATTTTTTAAAAAATGGTATGGGAATTTTTGGTTGTTTTTTTGTTTGTTTGTTTGTAGTGCTAGGGATTGAACCCAGGGCCTTATGCATGTGAGGCAAGCACTGTACCAACTGAGCTATATCCCCAGCCCCTAGAAATGGTATTTTTTTTAATATTTATTTTTTTAGTTGTAGTTGGACACAATGCCTTTATTCCATTCATTTATTTTATGTGGTGCTGGGATCGAATCTCGGGCCCCTCTGTGCTAGGCAAGCTTTCTACTGCTGAGCCACAATCCCAGTCCCAAATGCTATGTTTTTTAAAAAACTATTTGTCAGGGGCTGGGGTTTAAGTCAGCAGTAGAGTGCTTTCCTCACACACATGAGGCACTGGATTCGATCCTCAGCACCACATAAAAATAAAATAAAGATGTTGTGTCCACTAAAAACTAAAAAATAAATATTGAAAAAATTCTCTCTCTCTCTTTAAAAAATAAATAAATTAAAAAGTAGAGATATTGTGTCCATCTTTAAAAAAAAAAGAAGTTACTTGTCAAAATATAAAATTGGCAACCTGGTTGTTCCAGAACACCTCCAACTTGTCTTTGGAAATCTGAAATAAAAAAATGTCTGAACACTTTTGGCCCCATCAAAACTTATTTTTTTTCATCTTTTCGTTTTATTAGTTTCTACTAATTAAATTACCTATTTCTGATATTGTCACAATTGGCATTAAAAAAATGGCTTTTGGAAATTTCTTTACTTTTTTTTTTCTTTTGGTACCATGGTATTGAACCCAGGGTGCTTAACTCTTGAGGAACAACCCCAGCCCCTTTTTAAAATTTTGAGACAGGGTCTTGCTAAGTTGCTTAGGGCTGTGCTAAATTGCTGAGGCTGGATTTGAATTTACTATCCTCCTGCCTCAGCCTTCAGAGTTGCTGGGATTACAGTCATGCATCACTGAACCCAGCTTCATATTCTATTTTTTTTAATTTATTTTTTAGTTTTCGGCAGACACAACATCTTTGTTTGTATGTGGCACTGAGGATCGAACCCTGGCCACACACATGCCAGGCGAGCGTGCTACCGCTTGAGCCACATCCCCAGCCCCAACTTCATATTCTTTATAGTTGTTTCTTAGTTATGAACTTTCAGGGCTGGGGTTGTAACTCAGAGGTAAAGCAGAGCTTGCCTAGCATGCATGAGGCACTGGGTTCAATCCTCACCACCACATAAAAAAGTAAATAAATAAAAGTTATGAACTTTCAACCTGATAATCCTCCAGTTTCAGGGATGGCAGGAAACCTGGAAGGTTGTGTATTAAGCTCTTTCCTTGTCTTGCTATTGTCGGTGAGGAAAAACTTTACTCTTTTTAGGTTCTGTTTCTGGGGATTGTGAATTAAGCTGATAGACAGATTTCTAAGAAAGAGATGAGTTTATTCACATGCATACACATGGGAGTGCTGAGTGACCAGTAACTGGAGGGTGTTTAGAATTTGGGCTTACCCACCTAAGTTAGTAGGGGAAATGTACTGGGGAGAAAAGAATCCTATAGGAAGAAAAATAAATTTCTTTAGGAAAGTCAAATGGGTTCTTAGAAGAACAAATAAGAAATATGAAAGTTTGTGATAATGTTTGTCTATATAAGTGGCCTTTCTCTCTCCTTCAGGATCATGAAATTTCCCCAGAGAGAGGACTGAAGGTAGCCTCATTTCCCAGAAGTTGCTGCTTTGTAGTCAGATAAGAGAAGCTTTGAGGAAGCTTTTCTCTGCATCTATTGAATCTTGGTTGCCTTCAACTCAAAATAATCTGTATGCAAAAGTGGCATATTTTTGGAGTGTATTCTGGACCCCTTCATTCCTTTCTGGGTTTAATTTATGATTCTAGTTCAGCCTTTTTACTTATTCTCTCTTAAGAATATCTCCTGATTTGAAAAACGTTCAGAGAAACAACCACCTCAAAGCCTAAGCACTCTACCACTGAGCTACACTCCCAGCCCCCTAATCATATTTAAAGACTGTAGGATACATTGCCTTAAGAATAATTGGCATATAAATCCCATGGAAAAAACATGGACAAGATGAAATAATAATGACGAAGATGAAAAAGACGAGATACCAGCCATTACATGCAACTAGGAGTGGGTACTATGCCAAGTGCTTTTACATGTCTGCTGGATTGTATTTGAGATACTAACTTTTTTCCTCTCTCTCTCCTTTTTTTTTCTTTTCCTATTCCAACGAGGTCTCTAGTTCTTTATTTCAGAAGAGGGAAGGATCTGGGCAGATAATAAAACTGGCCTATGAGTTCTCAGGCTTTTGCATACCTTAAGTCTCAGGGGAACTTGGAGAATTTATGAACATAGAGAGCTAGAGCAGCAGTCCTCTGAGATTTTGGTCTCAGGGCCTCTTTACACTCCTAAACATTATTGAGAACTCCAAATAGCTTTTGTTTATGTGAATTATATCTGTCAATATTTACCAGAATAGAAAATAATAAAATAATTAGCATATCTTAAGATAACACATTAGGGAGAATACTGGCAATTTTTTTTTCTTTCTTTCTTTTCTTTTCTTTTTTTTTTTTGGTACCAGGGATTGAACCCAGGGTGCTTAGCCACTGAGCCATGTCCCTAGCCCTTTTTATTTTGAGACAGGGTCTCCCTAAGTTGGTTAGGGCCTGGCTAATTTGTTGAGGCTGGCTTTGAACTTGCAATCCTCCTGCCCACTCTCCTTAGCCATCACACCAACTACAAATTTAATTAATCAGAAACAGCTGGATTTTCATCTCCTTATTCAATCTGTTGTGATATGTTGTTGAAGTACATGAAGAAAATCTATCTTTACACAGATATTCCATTAGATAAGGAAGTAGTATTTTAATAGACTCTTCCGATAACGTGATATTCTTTTTAGGTATTACACTAAAACATAATGAGTGATAATTACCTTATAATTTAATTGCAATATGGAATCTGAGACCAGATAAATAAACTTTTTTATATACCATTTTAGTAGAATCCATTGGTCTATGTTACACTTTGAATGTTTTTTTTATGTCTGCAGGATTTGTTACATCATGTACTGCCCATGGGCTCATTGAATCATGCAGACCTTTCAGTTGTTACCATATTTTACTCTATAATCACAAGAGATAGCATTTGTTATGATACTTATTAATCTCATCAAAAGTCATGTTGCAAGAAACTGTAAAACTGAAGGCCAGCATGGTAGCACATGCCTATAATCCCAGCTGCTTGGAGACAGCCTGGACAATTTAGTGGGATCCAGTCTCAAAATCAAAAAAGAAAAAGATAAAAAGGGCTGGGGGTGCTAGAGTGGTGGCTCAGTGGTAGAGCACCTGCCTAGCATATGTGAGGCACTGGGTTTGATTCTCAGCACCACATATAGATTAATTAAATAAAGGTTCATAGACAACTAAAAAATATTTTAAAAGGGGACTTCTGGGGATGTGGCTTAATGGTTAAACACCCCTAGATTCAATCCATGGTACCAAAACCAAAAATGGCTTGGGCTGTAGTTCAGTAGTTTAGCCCTACTGAGTTCAATCTCTAGTACTGGGGAGCTGGGGAGGAGAGGTGGCAAAACCACAGTGAATACAGATTTTCTAAAATTTTAACTTTTGTACAGTTATTCTTCAATATCCCCAGGGATATGAGGGTTGGGGTAGATTTTATTTATTTATTTGTTTGTTTGTTTATTTATTTACTTTTGGTACTGCGGATTGAACCCAGGGGTTCTCAACCACTGAGCTGCATCCCTTATTTTATATTTTATTTAGAGACAGGGTCTTACTGAGTTGCTTAGTGCCTCGCCATTGCTGAGGCTGGCTTTGAACTCACAATCCTCATGTCTCAGCCTCCCAAGCTGTGGCCCACACCTGATGTATTTATTTATTTATTTTTTGAAGTGGCAGGCTCACTTTGTTGATTTTGAGAGAATGTCTTCCTAAGTCTGATTAAGATATTTGTCCGTCAGTAATTCTTTCAAATTAAAATGGTATTCCATGAAAAAAAATCAGTTCATAACTCAGCTGCTCAAGTGATTTATACTGCTATAAGCAACAGAAGCACATTGTGTGTGTGTGTGTGTGTGTGTGTGTGTGTGTATTTTATATCCAAAATGTGTTTATTAGGATATTTTCCCACTCATCTTGATTCAGGTTGCTTTTATTGCTGCTTCCTCCTGAAGGAACATCCTTCTGTAAGTCTTGCTTTTCTTCCCATAGGGTGGCAGAGGACAGTGGAGCAGCCAAAACGCAAAACTACTATTTGTGCATGGCTAAAAACTGTTGATTTTATAGCATCCTGGGCATTTCACATCCATGAAATAGGAATTGGGCTTTGCACCAGGTGATTTCTTTTGGAGAAGGATGAAGAAGATATTTTGCAAGAGGCATGTTTTCTTGGGAAGGTTGTCACCACCGGAAAGGCACATTATGTATGTTTTTAATTTTATCACAGTATTAAAAAGATCAAGATTTAATAAAACTAATAGTTTTTATTGCTTCATCAAGAGCATTTTAAAAGGAAACTGACCTTGTTATTTTTGTTTTCCTGCAGGTATGGGGCAGTATACAATAACCACAGATACAGTTTGGTGCCATTGTCTTGATTAGTGTCAAAGCACTTTCATCCACCATTATTTTTGTATCATCAATGGAAATGTCAGCATGGTAAAAAATACAAACATTTTATTATAATTATGAAAATAGTTCTGACTTCTCCAAACCCCTTAAAAGCTCTTGGAGACCTTAAGGGGGTCTGTGAACCACACTTGGAGAACCACTGAACTAGAGCTTCTTGGATAAACAGAGGCAAGGGCTGCTATTAACCTCAGACCCTAAAATAGATGTTTTCCCTAATTAGTGCATAGGAGGAAGGAAGAGGGATGTCTTTAAATCCCTGAGAAATGGAAGAAAAGACCTTAATTTTTGGTACCAGCATAGGGGAGGCAGAAGATCCCAGAAGTGAATACCTGTACAGTATAACTGGGAAGACTACAGGAAACCTTGGCAAAAGATTCCTTTGCTTTGAAAATGGTATAGGAGCTATAAAGTGATAAGGGATAAGGGCAGCGGACTTCTCAACTGACATCTGTGGGACCAATGGTTATTGATCAGAAGGAAACTCATACACAATACACACACCAAACACTGGGGCTTCATCCCTTTATAAAATCCTCAATACATCCCCACAGAAGGGCAGGGGAAAGCTCCAGAATGACCAGAATCAGATATTAAATTCAGATTTTTTTTTTTTTGTACCAGGGATTGAACCCAGGGGCACTTAGCCACTGAGCCACATCATTGACTTTTGTTGGTTTTGTTTTTGTTTTTGTTTTTGTTTTTGTTTTTGTTTTTTGTGTGTGTGTGTGTGTTTATTTAGAATCAGGGTCTCCCTGAGCTGCTTAGGGCCTTACTAAGTTGCTGAGGCTGGCTTTGAACTTGACATATTTCTGCCTCAGCTTCCCGAGCTGCTGGGATTACAGGCATTCACCCCCTGTCCTGGCTCAGATATAATTTTTTTAAATATTTGTTTTTTAGGTGTAGATGGACACAGCACAATACCTTTATTTTTATGTGGTGCTGAGGATCGAATCTGGGTCCTGCCCGTGCTAGGCGAGTGCTCTACTGCTGAGCCACAATCCCAGCCCCTCAGATATAAATTTTAAAAAATATTATTTCTCTGGGTGCAGTGGTGCATGCCTATGATCCTAGCAACTTCAGAGGCTGAGACAGAAGATCAAAAGTTCAAGGCCAAAATAAATAAATAAAAATAAAAGTTCAAGGCCAGCTTCAGCAACTTTGCAAAAGACTGGGTCTCAAAATTTAAAATAAGGTGGTAAAGTGCCCCTGAACTTAATCCCTATGGAAAAAAAAAGTTACTTCTTAAAACTAAGTTTGAGTCCTAAATTTAGTAACTCTGCACATATCATCTTGTTTAATCCTTGACAACCCTATGAGGCAGATATTTTATCATTTTTATAGATAGGAACCTTAGATGAGAGATGATTTCCTTTAGCATACTGCTAGTAGGTAACCGAGTCAGGATTAAAACTAGCATTTTGAGGACTGGGGATGTAGCTCAGTGTTGGGATACTTGCCATACTTGCACAAGACCCTGCATTCCATTCCCAGCACCACAAACACAAAACAAAATGCCAAAAACAAACAAAAAATGGCCCTTTGAAATCTTGTGCTCTTAGCTGGTATACTCTATTTGTGACTTTTGATTTCCTTTCTTTGTATCCATCTACCTACTAGCTACTTTGATCATAGGATCTGAGAGAGAAAACAAGGCAGGCACTTGGCAGGCCTGTATTTGCCCAGTTATTTTTGAGTTTTTCTATCCCTGGCAAGAAATTACCTAACAGATCCTGAATTCTTTTGGTTGGAAAAGTCCCTAGAAAAGAGATGGTAGCCAGGCTGTGGCGCACACCTGTAATCCCAGCTATTCTGGAGGCTAAGGCAGGAGGATTTTGAGTTCAAAGCCAGCCTCAGCAACTTAGTAAGACCCTAAGCAATTTAGCGAGTCCCTGTCTCAGAATAAAACATAAAAGGGCTGGGGATGTGGTTCAGTGGTTAAGTGTCCCTGGGTTCAATCTGTGGTTATATATATATGTAGAGAGAGAGAGAGAGAGAGAGAGAGATATGAATAAAAAATGGTAAATGTTAGTATCCAAAAGGAAGGCTAATGATCTGAGAAGTGTTGGCTTGGAATGCTCTGAGAAGTAATCAGAATCTGTGGAAAGAGCCAGGGAAATGGTTTAGAGGTAGAGTGTGTGCTTTGCATGCTTGAGGACCTAAGTTAAATCCCCAGTACTGCAAAGAAAGAAAATTTTAAAAGCTCTTACGAACACAGGATTAAAATGCAGCCTATCTAATGATGTCAGTATGCTCCCTGCCTGGTATTCCTTTAATTATAGAAACCCCCCTAGCGGGTACACCCCATTCCATGGCAATCCAGAACTTAGAAAATTATTGTGTGTTTTTTAAAATATGGCTACAAATCAAATAGTTTGACAATCATCCCATCAAAAGCTAGATTCTAATCCTTGTTTCCTATAATATGGGCTGACCTTACTGATTTACCTCCATGGAAATGAGAATTTTGAGTGATGGTGTGTAACTTCTAAGACTAAGTCAGAAAAGGCAATATGTCTTCTGCATGGTTGTCCCTGGGGACATTCATCCTTAGAGTTCAGCCACCATGCTGTGAGGAAGCTCAGGCCACATGAAGAGATGTGTTTTTATTCTGACCAACAGCCCCTGCAGAGGTCTTTATAGCCAATACTGACCCCATCAGTCACCAAACATAAGAGAAATCTTGAAGACAACTGTAGTCCCAGTGATCACCTCAACTGCTTGAGAAAACCCAAGTGAGAAACTCAGTCAAGCCCTAGAACCATATGATAGAATTATAATAAATGATTGTTATTTTACACTGCAAAGTTTGGGGCATTTGGTTGGCATTTTGTTGGCAGAGGAAACTCCAACCTCTCCCTTGATTGCTCTTCCTGAGGTTACCATTCATGAATTTAATATTTATACAGTACTTCCTCTGTACCTTGCTAATCTTACCATGTTCCTCTTCCCTTCCCTAAACCAGTGACCTGAACATGGACTCAAGTCCTTAAAAAGTAACAAAAACTGGACAGGCACAGTGGCTCATGCCTGTAATCCCTGTGGGTCAGGAGGCTGAGGCAGGAGGATCACAAGTTCAAAGTCAGCCTTAGCAAAGGCGAGGCACTAAGCAACTCAGTGAGACCCTGTCTCTAAATAAAATACAAAATAGGGCTGGGGATGTGGCTCAGTGGTTGAGTGCCCCTGAGTTCAATTACTGGTACTCCTTCACCCCCACAAAAAAGGATTTTTCAGATTGATTGGTTTCTTGAACTGCCCTTTGTTTTTGGATTACCTGTTATTATATTTTTTTCCAGAACACTATGTATACTAAGGATAGTAAAAAAGTCATTCCTTCAGAAGGAAAACAAAGACAAAACATAGTACTAAATTCTATAGTCCAAAATCCAAAAGATTTAGGAGTGTTATGTGTGTGTAGTCAGGAGGCCAGAGGGAAAAACTCTTTGGGGAGACTTCCTCCTTTGACTGTTCAGTGTGTATATAAGATCAGACACACACATACTCTTAGCAGAACAGGATATCCTGTCTTAAATAATAAAGTCAGTAATATGAGACCTTCAGATGAGGATCTCAGTTACTTTTTCTGTTACCCAAGTTAACAACTCAGTTCAAAAACAGATTACGATCATCTGGAGTCCTTGAAAGATAGATCCAAAAAAGCTGGTGTGTTGGGCACACAATGGCCTATTGCCAGCTTCAAGCCTGGTACACAAGGGCCAGGCTCATTAGCATAGCTCAGTGGGCAGGTGTGTGATTTTGTCACTTCCTCTGTGAGACTTTTCCCAATAACCTCTAGAGTCTAAGGTGGGGACAAAGGTAACTGCTTCTGCTGGGCTTTCCTCCCTCACCCAATGGCCCTGCTATGGGCTCTGGGTTTGTGCTCCCTAGCTTTCTGGGTGCCAATCCCTACTCTCTTCAGTCATGAGCCTGGCTCTGAGCTTGTGTTTGTTGGCAACTAGGGGACAGAGTGTGAGCCTCTTCCCTTGATAATAGCACTTAAATCAACAGGGTTCCCAGGGACCATGAGCACACTTCATGCAAATAATGGTTATCATTATATAAATAACCAGTGGTAAAAACATCATTCAGGGACAGAGGAAACTGATAAGCTGATGCCTTAGAAACAGGGAGATACAGGCTGGGGATGTGGCTCAAGCGGTAGCGCGCTCCCCAGTCATGCCCGGGTTCGATCCTCAGCACCACATACAAACAAAGATGTTGTGTCCGCCGAAAACTAAAAATAAATAAATAAATAAATATTAAAATTCTCTCTCTCTCTCCCTGTTTTTTTTTAAAAAAAAGAAACAGGAGGATATATTTAAAAGGACTCAACAATATGGACTCTCCCCAGTCTTTTTGACTCTCTCAGTCTTTCAGTGGCTAGCTGGAAGGGAGATGGGCAATTAGAAAACACTAGAGTCACCTTGGGACCAGACTGGCCTCCTTTCTCTAAGAGACAAATCCAGAAGGATCTTCTCACTTGGTTATCCCATGGGAAGTGCCTTAAAAACATCTAAACATCTAAATTAAAGAGTTTGTGTTTTGGGGCTGGGGATATAGCTTACTTGGCAAGGTCCTTGCCTTGCATGCACGAGGCCCTGGGTTCAATCCCCAGCACTACAAAAAAACTGAGTTTGTGTATGGGGTGTATGTATGATGGTTTATAATAGCACAATGGACATGTTCTCATTTCCAGACATGAAGGTTACACTAATTTACTCAAATACAGAAGCAGTAGAAGGGGTTAGCACTCTAATGCTTCTTGCAAAAGCTTCAGTAGCTGAATGACCAATGGGGAGTCAAACATTTCCATCATCAAAAGGTCAAGTTTCAGATCCAATTCTGGATTTTTTTTTTTTAACTGGAGATTGAACCCAGGGGCTCATACACACACACACACACACACACACACACACACACACACAGGGAAATATGTGCTTCAATGAATATAAAAATTATATACAAATATATGTATAACGTATTTAAAAATCATAAGTAGGATTATGTTATACACTGTATTATAACCTTTTTAATACAATTAAAGTATATGTTGGGCA